TTCTGCAATTTGGCAGCAACATTCCCGAATACCAGTTTAGTAATGAAAATTATTCTACGGCTTCTGAACCTTCATCACTGTAATACTGTAACGGAACTACGGATTTTTACTGGACTTTCTGAATGAGTGATTACCGCTAGGTATGGCATAAACAGAAACTTCTTTGGCAATCTGTATTACGTCATGCTCAGAAGTTCAAATACTGCAGCGTTGTGATCAATGATCACCGATGATTGCAAAACTGTCAACCTGCCTGGACTGGAAGGTGGCCTTTTCAGCTCACTGTCGCTACTGAAAAAACAAGAAGTTAGACGACTTCAAAAGAAATGTTTTGTTAATTCATTTGGTTTATGAGAAAATAGCGAGGCTGGCGATGCAAAGCTGCCGTAACAAGCTTCAGCAACCGTGGCACGTAGTTTGTTCTTAAATACTAACCTAAGTGCTGCCAATTTCTGTGGCGCATCTTTTGTCCACTTACAGACGTCTCTACCTCCGTTTAGAAACCGTTTATCAGCCTTATATACGTTCTAGAAGGGTTCTTACGTGTTATTTTACTAAGTGCTAGTTTGAACAAACGTTACGCAATGAGCAGTGGGAAATATTTGCCACTTGTAAAGGAACTTTTCAAAGCTTGTCGTGGTGTTAAGGAGTTTTCAAGATGTTGCGGTGAAGTAAGTCACTTTCAATGTATTTTTTAAGTTGTAAATGCCTTTTATTTAACGACACATCTTCCTTTTCTGTAGTCCTCTGGTTGTTAAGTGCTATATTTTTGGCTGTAAAAGTGAAATTTAAATTCAAGGCAAAAGTGCTAAGCGCAGAAGAAGGTCGTGTTAAAGTGGAAATAGATGTATCTGAGGAACTAATCAACCCATTTGGATTTTTACATGGCGGCTGTACCGCTACTTTGGTTGATATGGTCACTACTGCAGCGTTGGCGGCAACCCCAAGAGGGCTTCGTGGTGTCTCCGTCGATTTAAACATCTCGTAACATCTGTTTTTCCTTCATCCTGTCGTTCGGGATATATTATACTGATGGCTGCAAATGAGCTTTTTGCTTAACATCAGTAGAATTTTTGATATAGTCTTCTGCTGACGCGTGGGGTAAAACCCTTGTAAATCGATTTTTCTTCAGTGAAAAATTTTTTAAATTGCTGGATAGGTACAACATGTATTTTTGCACTATAGAAATCATTCAACTTTAGAAATGTCAAGTCCGACGTTTCTAGGTATTTGGCGGCTGCAAAACTTGGTGAAACTATTGTAATCGATGCGTCTGTTTTACGTTCCGGTAAAAATCTAGCCTTCACACGTGCAGACATTTTCCGGAAATCCGATAATGCACTGATCGCTGTCGGACAGCACACAAAGGCCTTCCCCGCAAAATAGACCAGGCAATTTGGATATTCAAATTCCCAAAACTCTTGCTTTTTATCTGTTTGGTAGTACTTTGCTTTCTTTGAGGGCAAGATATGGAGCTTTAACAATAAAAGGTACATAATTTCATCTTGTGAATTTGTGTAGGGACTCAGCTTCAAAGATAAGCTCCATTCCTTTCCTCGTGATAAAAGCTACACACCGCCTTTGATGATGTTGATGTCATGCAGAAGAGCATTTATGAAAAGTCAAATTTCATAATTGCATCACAGTTGTGAATCATTTTTCACAAGAAATGAGCTGCAAGCCACAGCCTTTTTTATTCAACTATTTTATGGAAGCATCTTTTGCAGCATTCCTTGTGCGCTTCATGAGAATCACAGCCCGAATACATGGTTATTTGTCAATATACAAATTACAGTTACATGCAGTCTTCAAAAAGCCCATTAAAAAACGGAGAAAATGATTTCATCAGGTGACTTCTGTTACCAGTCTCTTTCAGCTCCTCGAAGGCAACAAAATTGGTCATTTCTTTTTTTTTGGTGCCAGATCGAGCCCCGACATGAACCTCTCTCCAATGCCAAAAGTTTCTGTTATCATTTCGCTCAGTTGACGTACCTGAAACACCAATGCATGATTAAGTTTTTGACGGCAGAATATTGTTCAGTAAAACAAACCGCTGAGTCAGGCCTTGTTACCTTGTTTCCCTGAACAACGATCTGAGGTCCTTCGCATTGGGGAGCATTCTCCACGAGGGATGCACTTGTAGCCAAACTAACTTGTATTTGATGACATAAAGACTTTGGTTCTATTCCAAAAGCACTAGAATTGTTTAACAGCGTAACTTTCTTGTTGCCTGAACGAGATTCAATCTGAAACAGCGATTTCAAATTTTTGCGCCAGAGACGATGCTGCTACCAATTTTGAGAGCATCTAGAGATCTAACCTTGAAGTTAAGTTCAGGTAGTTTCAGTTTGTACTTTAAGACTCTACCATCTATTGTAGTAATGAAGTAAGTTTTAGTCATCTTATTGAGAATTTTTTGAATTAGAACATCCCATTTGATGGTAATTTCACTGTGTGTAACAACTGAAGCAAGGATTTCGTCATCCAAGGAGACTTTCCCAGAGTCGCTACTTAGTCCCTGAAAAAGGTAAATGACACGTTGCAATACAAAGCAAAGTTGCACGCTAACCCAGAGGCAGAATTCAGTGGGCGTGAGTATGAAGTGAGTGGGTACTAAAAACTCAAAA